CTGCCTCAGCACAGTCACAGCAAGGCTGAGGGATCGAGGCAGAACAAAAAGCCCAAACAGTTCTGCTTTCACACCATCCACTTCCTCAGCCCCATCCCTGGGATCTTTGCCAGGATGCTGGTTTGAAATGGAAGCAGGCAGAGCTGCCCAGCAGTATGGCAGCTGCTTCTGAGCAGGGATGTTTCACTGGAGAGGGATTTCTTCTAATGGCAGTGATTTAACACCCTACAAACTAAATTTCTGGAACACTTGGCTGAGCAGGATCGATGCACTTTCCTGGTTGACCACTGCATCCACACACTGTAATTCCTGCTTGAATTCACCCCAGGTATTTGCAGCATCAGTACTGCACTTGTGAGGACCAGGAGGTGAGGAGGTGCTGAAGCACTGTGCCACACACCTGAGGATGCTGCAGAGAACACCAATACCTTGACAGTGCTTTTTGGAGATACAAACTGAGTTTCTACCATCACCCACACCAGTGCTCCAGGCTCTGGCTGATTTCTGTGGCTGATCAGCCTGTGAAGGCCAGTTACACCAGGAGGCCTGGAAACTCCAGGCTGCTGAATACAATGAAGAAAGAAACACCTCTTGACAGACTATGTCCCTAAGAGAATTAGGGACACAATGTACCCAACACGACTCTGGACTTGGAGCTGCTCAATGGATGTTCAGACAGCAGAAAGGATCAGTTAAATCCGACCTTGAGCAGCTGCAGAGTATCAGTTGATTCACAGCATTCAGGAAAAAAAGAAATTTCTATTTATTCTTGTCCTTAGGAATCTGTAAGTGAGGAGGAAATGGATTTTAAGTAAGCTCAGAGAAGTCCACGATAATACTAATTCAAGATTTTGAAGTGCTTTACCAACAGCAAGTAAAATACACAGATTTCTGACAGGAGAAATGAAGCACGAAAATGCAAAGCAGCTTGTCCAAGCTTATGCAACAGATGAGAAGCACAAACAACACACAGATCTCCAGGCTCCATCTCTGTGTCCCACCATTCTTTCATTTTAAAAACCTAAATCCATTTGGCACTCCAACAAGGTTTTCCACACAGATTTAAGTGTTAATTCTGTGCTGGTTAGACTTTCTTTTTTCCTGATGTGGTATCTCACCCAATAGCTCCTCCTCTGTACACACACAGTAGAAAAGGAATTAGTATTTCAGAGCCAAGAAAACAGGAAAAAAGAACAAAGTCCTAAATTTTTATCTAAAGCCATATTTCTTTTCACATGGGCACACTGAATACAGATTTGAAGCAGCACTCCATCCTATGAAGAGAGAAAACATTGCTTGGAAACTATGAAAATTGAAATTGCTAAGATGCTACTAAATATATATATTTATGATGCTTCTGCATTAATACCATGCATAATGCATTTAATGCATTATCTGTTCAGATGCAGATACCCTTCATCACTGCAGGCAGAGATGAGGCAATTATCCAAAATGCTGACAAACCACCCTTTAGCCCCATGAAGTGCAGCGAGTGACACAGATCACTCCAGCACACAGCTCATGTGGCAGGAGAACTGCTCCTAAAAAAGACACACAAAAGGTTCTCAGTGTCCATGCTGGTGCCAGAGTTTTCTCTGTGGAGCCACCTCACCATAGAGAAAAAGCACAAAAAGGAAATCTAAGAACTCATCTTAGCAAGCTCCTCTTTTTGTGCAGAGCACACATTAAACTTACAGGTACTTTCATATCTGACATAAATTAAAAGCCCTCTTTTAAAACCAACTTGTGTTTTTATGTTTCAAAGTCATCTTAGAAGACAGCACTGTCAAATGGAGAGTTTCTCTTTGAATATCCACTGCCTGTGTGAATGGCTACTCCCCTCACTTCCAACACTGACCTCTTCAGGGTTTGTCTCCTTTCATGCCATCCATGCCCATGGACCTTCTCAGAAAAAAAGGAACTCACCTAAAGAAGAGAATGGCTTTCTCTACCCTTGCTGTCTGTAATTTTCTTTTCAAACCCTCCTTCTCATTCAGCGCACAGGGGAATATGCTCTGAGAAAAACCTTGCTCAGAGATGAGGCAGGAGCGAGCTCCTCCTGAGGTCAGATATTGGGCTTTTACTGATGAAGAGCTAAAATATTAATATTTACTGTTGTGTTAAGATCTGAAGCAGCCCTGGTGCCCTCACTTCCCAGGTGCAAGTGACAAACAGGACAGACAAAACCACTCTGTGGAAGGTACATGAGTTAGCAGAATGCTTCCTGATCATCTGGTCCCTTTTAAAACCAGCCTCACACAACCAACCAACAAACCATTTGAACAGGGTTGTGACAGAAAATAGTTCTACCAACCCTAAATATGTCTGTGTGCACAGTACAACTGTTTTTTTTCTTTAATACATGAACTGGAATCAACGCAGTGCCATGACACAGTGTACTCTTGCCAAGATCCTAACGGGCAGATGGAATTTTGGAGTCCATCTTTTTAAGTGCAGAGGTTGTTCTCTATTGTAACAAAAGTTATTCTGGATCATTTTAAAGGACATCATTGAAAAAATGAAGGTTAGTGCCTGGCAGTAAAAGCACCTGATGAAAATGCATGGTTTAAATGGAATTATCTCATGTCTGGCAGGTGAGGCCTGCAGGAATTCAAAGCTTCCTTTTCCAAAACAAATGTAAGAGATTTAATGTAATTTTATACATTAATCTGCTCTAAACCTTGGAGAAGCTGCAAAGCTTCACCTCTTTTTCTGAGGTAGGAATCCCAGGCCTCAAAGCCTGATTATTTTAAGGAAATGTTTATGTGAAGAACTAACACCAGAACTTACTGCTGTCCTCCGCATGAAACCTAAAGGACAATTCAAGCATCATAAAAAGGCTTGGATTTGAAAGGACTTTAAAGACCATCTTGTTCCAACCCCTTCCCATGGGCAGGGAGACTTTCCACTATCCCAGGTTTCTACCAGCCCCATCCAGCCTGGCCTTGGACATTTCCAGGGATGGAGCAGACACAGCTTCTCTGGGCAACCATAGAGGTTGCAACCATAGCTGATGTTCAATTTGGAAAACATCACAGAAAAAAACAGTAATTCATAGAGATACACACTTTAGGTCAAGGGATACCAACCATCTCTCCCTGAATCTTTCCTAACCTGCTGGTTATTTCCTTGAACTCCAGATGTCCAGAGTTTTGACCAAAACCACAGCTCCTTTTTCTCTGCACATGTGATGTTCTAGACGAGCTACTTAATACACAGAACTCCTCACGTACTCTTGGCTGAATTACCTCCTTGCCTGCTCCCAGTAAGCAATAACCTATTAAAGAGTCTTTTTTTCAAGGTGTCAGAAAGCCACAAGGGGTTACATAATGCATGACTACCCTGCAGAGACTGACAGCCCAGGTATCACAACCACACTCACATACAATTTATTAAATCAACCTCTACCCCGAGGACTGCTCCACCACCACCCTCAGGTGCAAATGGAAGAGGAAATTAAGGAAGTCTTGAGTAGTTTCATTGGTATTTTTATATGAATTTTGAGACAGACCTTTTTTAAAATGGAAAGTTTCACCACACCATGACAAGTCTCTTATTCTGTATCTGGCTCAGCATTTCTCAATGCAATTTAGTACCTCCAACAGAAAACTCATTGTAAATTAGCAAGAAATGAACAGGGAACACTGGACAACTGCAGCTCACCAGAACAAATGTTGGCAACTTCATTATCACTTCCAGCATTGACCACATGTATTGCAGGGAAAAAGCTGACCTGGTTAAGGACTTTTCCATTTCTATCTATGATCTCTTAGGGAAACAACTGTCCTACTGAATCATTTCAAGAATTTAACAGCCAAGATGATTTATTACCATAAAATAGGTCTTGGAAACAAAGATATTTCAGGAGACTCAATAGCTATTAAATCATTGTGGAAAACATGATGCTGAAGGAATTTGAAGGAATTGCAGATGCCTGACACATGTTCTACTGCCTTTTTTTTTTTTTTTTTAATATTGAGTGTCTATAAAAAGCAACTCTACAGAATTACTTAAAAACTCTTCTGACAGAAAAAATAAAAAAAAATAAGAGATATGGGTATCAATTATAATGGCATCCATAAAAGTTAAAAACAATTTTAACTAAAACACCCCACAAAGGCTGTTGGAAAAACTGGAGTCACCAATACACCAATAATTTCAAAACCTATGCATTAAAAATACACATCTCGCTTAGTAAACAAGCTGAGACGCATTCTGCAGAGTTATAGATATTTTAGAGTTGAGTCAATACACAGAAAACCTCACATCATCTTAATAATGAGTCCACTTGTTGGCTGGTGTGAAACCAGATTCAGTAAAAGCACCTTGGGTTTTGTTATTACAACTGCAGTGTAGATGTTGTTATCACATCGAACACACTCTGCTCAAGACAGTTGGAAGCAGCTCTCTTCAAAATGTGCCACTGAATACAAGTGAATCAGAAAAATTGTCTGCAAGGCTTGCTATGCAAAATATCACTGAAGAACATGCTGCTCTTTTGACCAAAATGGAAAAACTCTTGTGCTAAACCTTCCACTAGGCCAGGCTGCTTAAGCCCCAAACCAAGAACTCTTGCAGTACCCAAGTAAATGTTTTAAATGTATTCCAAAATACTCAGCCAAAATACAGCAGCCTCAAAGTCAGATCCAAGATTTTCTTATACCAGCTGATATTACAGACAATACTAACAAACTTTTGGAGGCCAAAATCCCTTTCCAGCCCTTTTTGCTTTCAGATCTCTCCTCTTCACACCCCTGGATCACCACAGCTACAGCAGTAATTAAGACACAACCCAGTCTTGACCTCCTTTGTCATCACTGTGCCAAAACTCAAAAGGAGAGAAAAAATCCACCTCGTGCCACTCACGTTGAGCCACGTGGCTCAAAAAGAGGGAACCCAGACAGTTCTACAAACTCAACTCAAAAACCAGGAAATAAGAAAAACTAATGGCCTTTATAAAGAAATGTGTGCCTTACAGAAAAGCTGACCAATAGACTTACGAAATAGGAAAATGAGCATTCCTCTTTGACTTCATTTTGCGTCGTCCTGGTTCACTTGTGCAACTCAGCCACCGTTCCTTCTTCTGCAACACAACAGAGAAAACAAATTCTGTTAAAAAAAATAAGTATTTGCTTGAGCTGACGTTTCTCATTACATTGTTAAGTAATGCTTCAAGCTTACTGCTTGCTTTTAGTCAACACTGGAAAATATTTCCATCCTTCTTGACTGCTTCTCTGATTTTGATTGCCAGAGTATTCCTGAAACTGCTCTATCAAGATGAACCTTGGAGACTGCTTGGTGATTTGAGCATAACACTGACAAACTAGAAATAGATTCCAAAACCTACTGCAGAGTTGACCAAAGAAACTCCTTGTAGCCACAGATAAAGTGAATAAACATTTTTTTTAAAAGGATTTTATTGCTCAAAGATATATTTGTGGTGTCTTCTCAGATCTGTGACTGTTCCTTGCTGGCCTCCAGCACCTAATTCAAAGAGGTGATGACCTGCTCTTGGTTTGGGATCATACCTGGTACCCCTGTGTTCCAGGCACCCTAAGACAATTCAGTGGGAGTTGAATATTGGAAGGGTTGTTCTTTATGTCCTGCTCTGTGGTTTGGATTCAAATCTATAGAAATAGAAAAATTATATCCATACCTTACTGGGAACTGAAGCAGAAGAAGAGCAAGCAACCAGAAAAACAAACAGAAAAATCTAAGTAGAGTTATGAGAGTTATTGTCCTGAAAAAGAATGCTCTGATGCTACATTCTCTATTTAACCACATTCATTAGTAAACTTCCAGCAGAAGTAGCAAAAAAGAATTCCTCATTGCCTTACTAGGCTAAGTAGAGACCTGGAAGAACTACTCAAACCTCTGTGAAGAAGAACTGGATTGCTCCAGATAATGGAGTAACTAAATAACTGGGGACAGAGTGGAAAATGAAGCACAGAGCATCTCATTGCTCAAGGTCAGTGCAGTTCTTGTTCTACTGAAAATGGTAATTTGCAAGGGAGAAAAAAAAAAAAAGTATTTGCAAAAAAAAAAAAAAAAAAAAAGAAAGAGATGGAAAGAGGAGGACACCAGTCAGAAAGATTCCTGACTCTGGCTGCAGTTTGCTGCCAGGAAGGGATAACAAAGCAACAAGTAAATGCCAGCGTGGATTTGTCAAACTGCTTCCCTTCCCCATCCAAGAAGTGAGAAAGCCCCAGGATACAGAAATAACTCAGTGATCACCAGGATCACCTGAGCACGGCCGCTTTTATGCCATGTCATGTCGTTTTCTCCCAAAACAATAAAGGATCATGGATTTGGAGAATAAAAATTAATTTTTCTCAAGTGATCCCCCATGGCATCCAACCTTCAGCACCAGAACCCCAACACGCAGAAAAAAACTGAGTATCTGATCAATTCATCAGACAACTATTCACAATAAGTGTTTCCTTAATCCTAAATTCTAAAATCTCAACATGAAATAAATACATGTACCATTGGGGGGTATGAAATCATCAAGTCATTTATAAGGGGCACAGTCAAACTTCAAGCTATTTAATTTAGCAGAACAATAGAGCTTTACGAAGTGTGTCTTTCACTAATGACCTGGACACTATTTTTGCTATTTCTGCCTCTAAAATGCACAGCCAATATTTGTGGTTTTTTTAAAAAAAGGCATTTCTTTCTTAAAAATGTTGTTGTGCAGGAAAAAAAAAAAAAAACAGTCAAAAAAAATGTAACTTAGAGTACAATCAAATATACAAAGGAAAACCACACAAGTACAGATTTCATCATACTCCTCCAGATTTTAAATAGATCAACATATTTTGGAGATGGGTGTGATTTTATGCGAGCTGTGCCCCTTTAAAATTGGCAACTACATTTAATTCAGTGCTGCCTTATTCCAAGTTTCAAACTCCAGTTGAAAATAGATCTCACAATGGAATCCTACAGCTGAATATACTCTGGGAGAAAATTAATACTTTAATTTATTCCAAATTCATTTGCATGACAGTATATCATTAGTATATACAAAAAAAAAATGTATTATACCAACAGAGGAAAAATTCTGTGCAAACAGTGAAAGAAACTCACATCCCACCAGTGAGATGAGCTTGAAACTTGAAGCAACAAAGCTGTTTTATTTCTCTGAGAAACAAACCCATAAAAAAATACCAAAAAGAGCTTTCAGTAGTCTACATTGTCATTTTAAAAAATACTGTGTGACCTTAAAATAAAGCCATGAAGCAAATATGATTTCTTTCATGACAGGTATATCCTAAATAGCTGAAAAGAGCCACATGGACAATCAAGTGCAGACTAAAAATAACACAGTTCACCCACAAAGCAGGTTTTCCTACCTCACTGATTAACCAGCTGAAGAGGAAAGAAAACACACACTCACTTTGTAACTCCATCAACCTTGTTGTCCTGGAAACAATTCTACAAGAGAAGTACTTAACTGCCAAAACATCTTCTGCTACTACTTTTTGGGTTTTTTTCTTCCCCTACTCCCCTCTCTGCAGTGCTCTCAGTATTTAAGCAGCCAGCACCAAACCTAACCCATCAAATGGCACAGAAATTGGATCTCCTGCTCTTAAAAGGAAATACAGAATTCCATTTGAGCATGCAGCACTTAGGGAACACCAGGTTTGCACAAAGGCTATGGAATGGACTGGGTCATTTTGTTGTTGCTGGTGTTGTTAAAATATCCTATTAACCCAACCGTTCATTTTAGGAAATGGCCTCGAGTTGTGCCAGGGGAGGTTAACATTAGATATTAGAAAGAATTTGCTCACAGGAAGAGTGGTCAAGCACTGGAAGAGACTGCCCAAGACAGTGGTGGAGGCACTATCCCTGTAAGTGTTAAAAAGGAAAAAAAAAGGATACAGCAATTGAGGACACTGTGTGATGGTGAACATCATGGTGCTGGTAAGCTGATGGTTGGATTTAAGTGACCTTAAAGGTCTTTTCCAACCCAAAAAACTCCATGATTCCGTACAAACCAGGCAGGGTGAACTCAGCCTTCCTTATTCACATGCCCAAGCACCTGGGGTGAGAGTCCTTTCTCTGCCACTCTGTGGGAGTGCAACAAGGTCATAAAACACTAAAAAATTCTCTTTTTTAGATTTTACGGTTACTGTCTGTATTTAGAAGGGAACAAGTCTTGGCAATTTCTGCCACACTGCTGGCCACAAATTCAAAGAACACTTCCATGTCCCAGCACTGGAAACATCTGTGCCCTCCTTTCTTGGTTTAGAATCCTTTTTTGAAACAGGTCTGTGCTTTTACCAGAAGAGAAAACTTGATTTTAACCTCTGTAGCAAATAAAAACTAAGTTTAGAAACCAGATTTATATAAGAAACAACAGGTTTGTTTCACACCACAGCTTTACTCTCCACATTGTTCTTTTTGCTAGGTAGCATGTTTGGGTCAGATGCAGCAATTTGGCCTTACCTAAATTGTCCAATCCACTGCAACAAATATATATACTTAAACACTTGTAAATTCCTAATTTCTAAACTACCAGTGTTTTAAAAACTTTGGCATCCAAGCTTCTCAGTCAGCCTGTGCACACACACTGCCCACACCTGTTTTTCCAGCAAAATGCCAGAGTCTGCACTGGTCTCAGATGGGAAAAATCACAATTCACTGTTTTCAAATGAAACCCATTAATTACCAAAATTATTCCCACAGCAAGTCCAAAGGGATTTTGGTTCCTTCAGAACATCCATGATTAAACATAGCTCCACTCAGCAGTTTTATTCAGTGTGGTATCTCTGATTTATTATCTCACTCTGCTAAGGAGACCTGTGTTTTCCCCTGACTTCCTCCAATTCACAATGTATTCACAAGGTTTTTTTCATGTTCCTTACCAGTGCTGGTTATCCACCTTTCTGTACCTTAGATTTTCAAATAAACCCAATCTAATTGTTACCCAGAGAAGCTGTGGCTGCCCCAGCTCTGGAAGTGTCCAAAGCCAGGCTGGATGGGGCTTGGAGCAACCTGGGATACTGGAAGGTGTCCCTGCCCATGGAAGGAGAGTGGATCAAGATGGGCTTTAAGGTCTTTTCCAACCCAAATTCTGTGCTTCTAATACACTTGTTAAATTGATTTTAAATTGTATCCTTGTATCTGCTTTTCCAATGACTTATCTTTAATATATCAATGGGAGTCACAGCTTTGTTTTCCCTTTTCTCTTGTGATTTTATTGCAGACATTGTAAACCTTCTGTGTATCCTCTGTATTTATTGCAAGTATCTTCTGGAGAGACCACAGAATCATAAATGGATTGGGTTGGAAGGGACCTCCAAGATCCTCTATTTCTTACCTCTGCCATGGGGAGGGACATTTTCCACTAGACCAGGTCCTTCCCCTAGACCAGGTCATATGTTTAGCTTGCAAAATGAGCTGCAATCCCAATTAATCAGGATCTGGAGTTGCTATCAATAAACAACCACCACTAAGAGATCCAAAATTTCAACCTCACAGTCTTGAGCTGCCTCTGCAAAATGCCACAGTTAGGGACTAAAATTTCTCATCTCCTCCACTACAAACCCAGTTGCCTCGGCAGCATTTTACTGCACAGGCTCAATAAACATTCCACGTTCATCAAGCAGGCAGTGAATATCCACAGAAATCTGTCTTAACACATCAAAGATCCAGGGATTTTCAGCATCCCATCCCTCGTACCATGCACGAGAAAACTCAGAGGAGGAAGATATTTGGAAACTTGGTACATACGAGCAAATTTAAAATCATGAAAATTGTGGTGCCTTACAGTAGCAGCGCTGTTACACGCGTTACAAACACTGAATTTTGTCAAATGATTTCCAGTAAATGCATTTTTTTTCCCCACTTCAGCACTAGAAATTCCCAATGCATAGTATGAATCGTTATGTTCTGTGCTTTCTAGCTCAAATGAGGACCAGGTTTTACCAGCCAGTTTTTAGGAGTGTTTAGACCCTCCCTCTCTGGTACAGAAGCACACTGATGTCAGGCTGGAAAAACATATCTTATACTGATTTTTTCCTTCTTATTTCAGGCAAAAATTCCAAACCATAGCAAAGCTTTTGCCTTCTGCTGCCACTG